GCCCAGAAGTAAAATGAGTAGCAAATGTTTTGGAAGTTGTCCCAGTGCACAGAAATTGGCTGCTAACTGCTTTAGTTAAATTTGGTACAGTTTTCTTCTGCAGGGAAGCAATATTGACATTTGTGCCCAAGGATGGTGGTATTATTTAGAAACATTAATCATTGTACCTTATATATAAAATGTTGTGGAGAAAAGGGGGAATTGATCTATCCTCCTTCTGCAATGTAGATTATATACAAATCAGCAAAGGATGTTTAAGGCAGATGCTTGGAAAGAAAGCTTTCTGTCAGGGAGGATGGTGAAGCAAACCACCTGTGAGACCTGCAGAGGAGGCTACATCAATGAATGACAATTTTTTTGATTTGTAGATCCCTTCTGCAAGTGTTCCCATGGAGAATACCCTTCACAGTCAAATTTGCCCACAACAAACTTGCTTTTTGAAATTCCTAACCCCTAAGTATCCCAAAGTCCCTGAACCACGAAAGCCACTGGCACAGGTTCTTTATGCCTCGGTGCCTCCTTTGAAATGATGGTAAGTGGGGGCAGGAGCTCTGTCCAAAGGCTCAGTAAATAGGCACAGCATTGCTGCTCAGCTCTCTGGCTGAGTCGTAGTGCTCTCACATAAGTTTTGTTGAAGCAGAATTTGGCTTTAAATGGCCTGTGAGTAATGCAGAGAGCTGTGTGAGAAGTGACAGGGAACCTGGCTTTGCTGATGCTTTAACCCATAAAATTTTGTCCTGAGGAAACGTTGTAGTGAAGGAGCTCTAGGTCCTGCCTTTGGTAATAATAAATTGGAATTTGGCATAGAAATCTGCTGGAGTATCACTGGGATGGGCAGGGGTGTGGGGTAGGATGGTGAGCTTGGATGTGAACCTGTAGCCTGAAAAGCACAGATCACAAAGAAAAAGGCTTACAAGGTGTGGCAGCAGGTTTGCCCTAGCAGAGGGCTTTGAATTCCAAACAGAAACACATTGACATGAAACTGCAAAAACACCAGGACAGTTGTTCCAGTCTGGAAGCCTTTTCACTGTAGGAAGTACAGCCATGTCTCTTTTTTTTTCTGTCATGTGCCTTCATTCCCCTTGGGCTTTTATAGTTTGTTACTGGCTTGGTATCTTCCCTATCCATCAGTCCAGCACATCCCATTAAGCAGCTTTTCTTGATTGACTAATGAGATACTAAATTTAGCAATGCTTTTATCGCTGTCTTTTATTGCTCAGCTCCATTTCCTGCATTTCACTTGCTATTCTTCAGTGATTACTCTGTTGTTACTGTATTTACTGTTGTATGCCCATCGCCTCACTTCCATTTCTTCAGTCAATTGTTATTCATCTCTCCTGTAATTTCCTTGCCCACTCCTTCCTAATTCTCCTCCCCCTCCTATTTCATTCAGGTTTGTTCTACCATCTTCCCCATCCAGCACATCACTCTCCTCTTATGCCCAAGACCCTTTTTCAAAAAGTAAATAGAGGACAAAAGCATTTCTACCTTGAGGGAGCTGTCCAAGCCAGGCAGGATGGTACCTGTCTCTTCTCCTTAACTACACAAGTCTAACTAGGACAGAGCAGATGCTTAACTTGCAGAGACTGAAGTGTAAGTAAGAAGAATACCATTCATGTAAGCTACCAGGATTTAAAATGCTGAGTGCTAACACAGCCTGTGATACTGCTGTCACTACAATGACAGAGAGAAGAGTTATTTATGAAGCTGTTTTTGTAAGTCCTAGGATTTTTGGCAGTTGTTTAACCCATGGCACTAAAGCTATTCAGAATTAACACATTTTTGAATAACTTTTTTGTGTCACGATGATTAGCAGCATAAAATTTCAGGTGCAAGCTGGCCTTTTAATCCAAATAATAGCTTTTTCTCCATCATCCATAAATACAGCCTTCACATATCGGTATGTTAACTGCAGTAATGCTATTCTCAGAAGATTAAAAGAAATATTCCTACTTTCATCTGCCTAGCATATCCCAAGGCTGTGAGGTATTTCAGAATTAGCATAAATACTGGTCTAGATGTGCTCTTTCAGCTTTTTCTTAAAGGAATTGCTGTATTCTTGACACCTGCTTATTTCATTCTTCAAAAATGTAACCTGTGAGAATAAAGTCACCCAAGGACAGAAAGTAGGAGCTCTGTAAGGGGTTACTTGCTTCTAATGTGTGGTGGCTTTACTGACATAAGTCACAGACACTGAGGTTGACCCAAGATTATTAAAAATTTAAAATTTCTTGGGTCATTTCATGCTGGTTTTATGAGGTCGGTGAGATACTTTTCATTGACAAGGTTTTCCAACACACTGTGTGTCATAGAGTATTAGTGCAAATCCATCTGGTTCTGCCACTATAGCTGCTGAGACCACTATTGACCCAGTTTAGAAGTCCTGTGTAACCTGGCTCATTTTGCAGTACAGCTACCCAAACCTTTACTGTGCACACAGGCAGGGCATGGGTGCACTCTGCTCTGACCACGCTCTTGCAGCCAGAGTGTGCCTGCCCTTGTCTTGTGGCATTTTGAGTTTGGGCACAGGCAGTTGGCACAGGATGGCTATAGTACTGCAATTCTGAACTTTAGTAATTCGTTCAGGCATCCACACCCTCCAGGAGGTATTAATGGCACCATGTCTCTTTATCCTGTGGTATTTACTGGTGTAGCACTGTTGGGTGAATGTAGCTTGATGGTGTTGTGTAGATATGCACAGCTGGATGATTCCCCCTGTCCATGTCTGGTATGTTTGGATGTTAATAAAAATATGCTGTTAGCAAAATAAGCAAAAGAGATGTGTCATTAAAACCAGAGCTAAAAGATCTTCATGAGGAGGTTTGGCCGATGTCCATATCCAAATGGTTAATTGTTAACTCTGCATTTCCTATACGGAGAAGTGGGAGATATTTGAAAGTTAAACGTAAAGATGTTTATCAACAACCTCAGAAAGATTCATGGCAGTCTCTCTTTGGCAATTAACCAGGCAATGGCTTGGACAGAATCCTTATCACAAGAATTCCCTATATTGCCAGCTGAATGTATACCCTGCTCTTATGTGCTATGGGCTGCTGACCCTGAGTGAGATGTTCCAGCTGCAACAGTTATTAGAGTGGGAGAGAGGATTCTTTGATAAATAAATCTGAAGATACACAACTAATTGGGAGAGAAGGTGCATGTCTCTCTTCTGTGTGTGCCTACATTTTTGTGGATTTTTAAATACGTATTTTATACTTTCTCTGTGTTAAAGTTCTATGAATCTGCTAATGTTTCTAGCTTAGAAATGTGAGCCATGCTGACGTGATGTCTTTGTTTTTTCTGGTACAACTCCTGCGAGTCTTGATGATATGCATGATAAATCTTTCACCTTGGCAGAGAGAGAGGAAAGTGTTTAATATTTAACCAAGGTTGTCTTTTACTTCAGCATCCATCGATAGGGGACTGCAGTTACAAATATGTAAAACTGTGTTTGTTTTTGCTGAGAGGAGTGCTTGGAAGGAAAAAGGGGTAACTTTTCCCCAAGGAGTAAGTTTCAATTACAACAAAAGACAAGACTGTTTTTAGAATAGATCAAATTAAGCCCACATTGCACTAAAATAGTTTAATACTTTGTTTAAAACGAACCATATTTAAAGCACAGTGGCTTTTGAACCAGTGTGTTGAAGTTGTGCAAGTTGCTGTGTCGGTGCACTTGCTTGCTCAAGTTCTCACACCAGACTGATTTTCCCATGGGGAGCAGTGTGTCAAGGTTTGTGTCATATTATCTCCTGCTTACTGAAGAAAATGAACCACTGAACCAGTTATCTGAAGTCACTGAATCAGACTCAAAATCTTTACAGTTAGAAAAGACCTCCAAGATTGAGTCCAGCCTTTCTTTGAACAGCACATCAATTAAACCATAGCACTAGGTGCCATATTCAGTCTATTGAACACTTCCAGGGATGGTCACTTCATCACTTCTCTGAGCAGCCCATTCCAATGTCTGACAAGCCTTTCAGTGAGGAACAACCTGAACCTTCTCTGGCACAGCCCGAGGCTGTTTCCTGATGTTACCTGGGAGAAGAGGCTGAGCCCCGCCTGGCTCCACCCTGCTTTCAGACGATTGTAGAGTGATGAGGTCCCTTCTGAGCCTCCTCTCCCCCAGGCTAAACACCCCCAGCTCCCTCAGCTGCTCCTTATAGGACTCACTTTCTAGCCCCTTCCCCAGTTTTGCTGCCCTTCTCTGGACACACCCCAGCACTTCAATGCCCTTCTTGAAGTGACTCCCAGTCATGGATACTTCTTTGCTACAGTCAATTTTTCATACCTATGGCTTCTTCTATGCTAGATAAGGATCACATTTCCAGATTTGCATTTACATTTAGTTAATTTACACCACTGGGGAAAGCTGCTGGTAATAATAAGCATCCTGCCTGGCCTGCTTTCTGTCCTCAGAAATTTAGAGAGCTTTTAAAGGGAAAATACAGAAGTTAAAAAGACTTAGCCCTAGCAATCTTTTTTCACAAATCCTTAATAGAGCTGAGCTGCATCTCAGGTCTGCTTCAGGTAGGAAAGAGTTGTGTGTCATAATTTCCTCTACTCAATGCATTTTTAACAAGTCCCAAACAAATGTTCTTGTGAAATGTGTATTAATCATTATTATAATATTTTCTCTCTCTGGGATTTTACAGTATCTCAGCAATCTGTAGACATAAGCCCACTGCCAGAATGCTGTAGCCTTGCAGATAGAAAAGACCTATGCCTTCGAAAACCCAAACAAACAAGAAAAAAACCCCCATGTTTTTTCACAGCTTTAAGAACTCTTGGCATAAAAGACATTATGAATAGGGTATTTAAAGTAGACTTGAGATGCCTATGGACTAAAGAGCTGGAGATTTCACAGAAAATGAGTGTGCACACACAGCTCTTGGGCTGCAATCTGTAAGCTAGAATTGCTGTGAGCTCCTGGTCTTGCTGTTTGACGTGGGTTTCCAGGAGCACTCCCAGAAAAGCAGTGACGCTGTGCCTGCCTCTTGCAGATGCGGACGACGCGCAAGGTGTCGGTGTGGCCCGTGGGCCTGGTGGGAGGCCGGCGGTACGAGCGCCCAGTCGTGGAGAACGGCAAGGTCGTCGGCTGGTACACGGGCTGGAGAGCTGACAGGCCCTTTGCTATTGACATGGCAGGTGAGGATCATTTATGATACACGAATTGTTTCCATTTCTCAATTTAAGCAGCTCCTTAAACTTCCGAAGTGCTGGCAGCGTGCAGCCCCCCTTTGGCACTAACTATCTCGGAAGTCTAAGCTTGTACATCTTGTCTAATTAATTTGCCACTTGGTGGTATCTAAACTTGCTTTAATTTGTTTGTATTTTTATGTGGCAGCTTGGCTTTTATGTTGTATGAATTGTCTGTCTGAAACAAGTTAATTGTAAATTAATTCACCCTAGCACTTCTTACAAGGAGTCCCTGCCTGTCATTTTGTCATCAATCTAAACCAGGCAGTATAAATGCAGACCTTCTTAGACCTTATGTTGTAAAATGCTACTTTATCATGAAATTATTCATGTTGCATTGGTTATTCAGAATGACAGTGATAACTATAGATGGATATAGTTTGAAACACTGGGCTTAGGGGAAACATCACTGACAGCTGTCGCCTGGTGGATGAAGGCAGAAAAGCTTCAAAACGGATCTAATCAATCTTCTGCAGTGAAGTTTGCACACCACGCAGCTCTGTCTTGCTGACAGTCCCTGTTTAGACAATCTTTTGTATATACTCACAACTGCCACATGAATCACCACTGTGCACAGGTCCAATTTCTGATATAGCAGAAGCTGGTTTCCCAGCAAATGATATGGTATTTGCACTTAGACTATCTTCTGTGCTCAGGAGAGAAAAGTAGGAATACAAGGGCAAGGTAGAAATAGACACTTTTTTTATTCTGATACCCCTATGTTTTGAGAGAGGGAAAAGGACAGTGTACAGTTCTTTCTCATCCTAACGGAGCACTGTTATATTAATTGAAGTTATTGATAAAAATATGTACAGTATTTACAGTCCAACTGTTCAAAAAGAGTAAATAAAGGAGGACTTATGTTTGTTATCACCTCAAAGACAAAAAGGTTACCAGGTGAATTTTTCTGCACTGTAGAGGCATCTCAACTCAATAGTACAACCTGGCATAAAAATAAGTATTTGGGTGTTCACATAAATGCATTCCTCAGGAGTGAAGCAGGTATTTAATGCCCAGCACCATGCAGCATGTCGAGGACTGCAGCTGTGCAGTTGTACAGTCCCTGTGGATTTACAGATACATATTGATACTGTACTCTAGAAGGGATTACTGATGGCATTATAAAGGTGAGAGCATGGTTCATAATTCATTAGCAGCAGGCCATTACACAACATCAGCCAAGGGACTCTAACTCAGACATGAAAATATACATGGAAAGTTCTTAAGTTGTTTACCTTGCAGATGCTGGCTGAATCACTGGCATGAGGGAAAGGCAGCTCCATTAGGAGCATTACCTGCTTGTGCTTTGACCAAAGTTATGTAAGGGAGGGTTACAGAGACAAAAATACTCCAAAACTTTTAGAATACAGGAAGTTATTACACAACCACAAACAAAGAGTTACTACTTTGTGAGAGAACTTTTATTAGTCTTCAAAAAAGTACTGAAGAAATTGAACTTGATTTTCAATTTCAGCAAAGAGAGAAATAGATGCAGTGTAGACTGATAAAAAATAATGTGAAATTTGCATCTTCATTCCCTGCAGGAATACAGTGGCACGGCACAAACAGAACAAAACTCCATAGGTGTCTGAGCAGGTGCAGGCTACAGGATGCATGTCAACGTGCAGTTTCCTACCCTTGCCCTTCTCTCCTGACTTCCCAACACACCTCCAGGGACTTGCTACCAAACCTAAGTCCATGCTGTAGTCCATCACTGGCATTTTTCTTTCCATGTTTCCATATCCAAGCAAACTTAGGTTATACCAAATACTGCACTTAAGAAAGATCAAGGATCTTTTTTTAAAAATATTGCCATGCAAACAGTATAGATGCATACAGTAATACTGATATGGAGACCTATCAGCTGTCTGCAGTTAATGTTCTGTGCTCATGTCCCAGTGCACTGGTAAGGAGGCTGTTTAGTGAATGATCTTCCACAGTGATTTTCACAAGAATTTGATCATGAGGCCGAGTATGAAGAGACTGACGGCTTAAAAGGTTCATTGGGATCATTGTTAACTTGTGGCTGTTCAGAGGAAGTACATCTTTGACTTTAAGCATATAAACTTCTTACTCTAGACTAGAAAGCACAAGGCCAAATTCAAATTACTGCAAGTGGAGATAGGTCCTGCTGATTTCATCTGGCTCAGCTCAAACACCCTAGCTGGCCAACCTCCCCAGATTTTTGAAACACACTTGCACACGGCAATCACATTAGTTCAGTTCATTAAACATTGGTTATTTATTTTGAGAAATTTGTGGCTGACACCGCTGTTCTCCAATGCTAAACTGGATTCAGAAAGCAAAGTAGCAGTTTCCTGTGTTGCTTCTTGCCTGACAACCAACACACCATACAAAATAGTTCAGGTATTTCCGAAGTTCTGCTTCAGTTTTTAATCTAGAACATCCAGGAAGCAATGGCATTAACCATGGCAACAAATCTTTAAACCCTGGCTCAAGTTTAACTGGATGAAGAAAGATAGTTCTTTTTAACAGAAGCCATTGATCTAACACAAGTCAAGGTGTGAATTAACAGAAACAGCTTACTTTGAGAGAAGAACAGATGTTAGATTTGCTATGTCTCCCAGGTATCTTGTCCTCCCACAAATTAATTCCTATCTAGGTGGCTCTTCAGGCAATTAGATTTAATTTACAACCTTGCATTAAATACCAAAAACTCCCCGAAACACCTCTTCACACTCCAGCTATGAAATTGTCTTGTGGCATTTCATGTGAATTTAAGCCAAATACGACCTTGTAGGAATAATGATTAAGTAAAATAACTGTATGCATGTAAGCACTGTTCAGTTATGCTACACTGGAGACAGTAATCCCAGATAAATCCCTGTTTAGTGATAGAATTCAAAACAATAGTGTCTTTTCATCTATTAGCAGAGGATCATTATCTGCTGAGAGAAATAATTAGTGCCAGTCTGGTCAAAACCCGAGCTGTCTCTTCTATTATTGACACCAAAATGATACATCTGATAAAATCGACTTAAAGTTGTCACTAGAAAGTGGTTTTCTCTCAAGTCCATCTTACAAAATGCCATACATGTGAAAATAAAGCAGAGCTGAAGAACTAGAGAGCCAGGAGATAAGTCTCCTTGAATTATTTTATCTCTAAGTTGCTGCTTTATTGGATTCTTTTAATAAACAAAGACTGCATGGACCCTGACCACGGAAACAAACCTCAGACCAGTCAGTGCACTGTACATGTCCTTGTCACCTGCAACACTCAATTTATAATTTTATAATTATATATATATATATATTTTATATTATATATAATTTATAATTTTGAATTTTGACAGTACCCTCAAATGACAATTTGCAACAGCATGGTAGCAAGGGCATGTGTCACATGCAGGGGCCAGGGCCCACTTGAACATCTGTGTGTAGGAGAAATCCACCCTCTGAACTCAATGCAATTTTCTCAGCAGACGAGCAAGCCTTGCAAGAAGAGAAATTATGAGAAATCAATGTATTTCTCATAATATGAGAAATATTATAGATATTTCTGGCTATGAGTCCAGGGAGCCACACTGACACAGCAGAGATAAACAGTGGAAAATCCGCGTCTCTTCTGCTTAGAATGGGATTCTTACTGTGCACTAAAATCTAGGACACTAATTTTGGTGTTTACTTAATTTTCTTCTTTATGCATGGGCAGCTTGAATCTTAAATGTATTTAAAAAGAAAGAGCAGCTTACACAGCTGATCAGGGTTCCAAAAATGCCTTCCCATGCAAAAGAAATTTTTTTTTGTGCCCAAAATTATTAAAGCCCAGTTGCATCCAAAATTTATAGTTTGTTTTATTTGAGGAAAAAAGGCCGACAAAACCTAACCAAAACCACTAAACTGAAGCAGACCATTCTGTTCATCAGTACTAAATCTCCGGTTCCCTGTCAAGGTGTAACAAGCTGGCTGTACACACTCTCTGTAGCTGAGGGAGTTTAAACTCTCACCCTCTGCTCTTCCCAAATGATTACACTTGGCTACCAAGATCACCAGGATAGTGCCCAACTTGTGCTCCAGCATGGCCAGGCTACAAGCAGCTACTTGTGGAGCAGAAGCAAGACAGCAGTGCAGGGTGTAGCAGACACCTATTCTCTACCCCAGGCAGGACAGGATGTATGAAAGCTACGTAAAAGATATAATGTATAAATGTTTTTTGTGTCCATCAGTGAACTGGGACCTCAAATTGCATCCAACCAGTCTTCATCAGGGTCCAACTTCTTATTGAAAACAAACAAACCTTCTGGTGCGTTCCTTCGCTTTCCTACAAGCAAGAGCATGATAAAGTGTTTTCAGTGTGCCCTTCTTTACATGTGATGCAGTAATTACTTCCTTATATTTTCCTCTCCAAAAGGCTCCTGTAAAAGTCAAAGACACTTTCAAGGAAAACATAGACATAGCAAGCACAAGGAAAACAAGCAAGACACTTCTACTAAAATAAAAGAGTCAGAATTACATTAAGTTATAGAAAGTTATGCTCAGTTTTAAACTGATAGAATTTTAATACTGGCTTTAGAATTCTTGGAGTTTTCCAGAACTGTGGTAGGCTTGGCAATCAGACAAAAGGAGTTAGTTACAACTGTAATTTTTTTTTTACAAGTCTATCAGAGTTTTTGAGTCATAGTTAAAGAAGCATATATATGACTGAGCACTGCTGAAGGAAATGGGAGAGTTCTATAAACAAAGGCAAATTACAGATTCATGGGACCTCCTTCAGAGAGGGTGAGTTTGCTCAAACCAGTGATTTCTCAGTTTGCAGTCTCCCTTCAAAGAACCTGATACATGTTAGTCGAGAAAAGAATTGCAGAGAGGTGTGTACACTGAATAAATCCTTTGAGCTGTGCTGTGCCAGGCTCAGACCAGCTGAGACTGCCTGGCACACCACTGGTGCTAAAAGTTATTCCCAAGGCAGAGCATTAGTATGACTTGTCTTTCCTCAACAGGGATGTTAAAAATCTACAGGCTAATCTAAATATCACAGTTGTAACATATTTTAACCATTTTTCCCAACTCTCAATTTGAGGTGTGGAACGGTTTGTACAGTATAAATTTCATACATTCTATTTTACTTACAATTGAATTTCATTTCTTAATTAAAAGTAGAAAGGAAGAATAACCGAAGATTTTAGCAATACCTGACTTTTCAGGCAAGAAAGCATATATTACCTACATGATGGGAAATAGATTAAACATGTTGAAAATACAGTGCAATTAAAAAAAATCTGATTGTATCTTAAGGGCAAAACAAAACAGAACAGTACAATGTAGGATGCACAAACCTACCAAATACTGTCTATCCACATAATTCAATTTATACATTTTCAGAAAGAACATAGGAGACTTCAAGGCATAAGTATAGCCGCACAAGAATGTAAGGCCTAAAGGTTTTTCTCAACCTTTTTCCCTGTCTCACTCTCTCCAAGGATTTGCTGTAAGTCTTCAAGTGATCCTGTCGCATCCCAAAGCCGTATTCAAGCGTCGTGGTTCTCAACCAGGAATGCAAGAATCTGATTTTCTGAAACAGATAACAACAGTGGAGGAACTGGAGCCAAAAGCAAACAACTGCACAAAGGTACCTACGGCTGCACTTTGTGAAAAGTTTTAGTGTCATCTCTGTAGATGACTTTACTAAAACACATGGTATTTTTTAGGTTCTTGTATGGCACACCCGAACAGAGAAAGTGAATCTAGCTAATGAGCCAAAGTACCACCTGGACACAGTCAATATTGAGGTATGACGTGGGGGGACAGTCCCACGGCAAGAGCAGGACAACGGACGCACCAGCGCACGTTCCAGTTCGGACAGCTAAAATCATCTGCTTCTGCCTGAGACCTGACAGACTTCTGTGGAAACAAAAGGAAGCTTTCAGAGACTCTAATAAGCAAATCAAGTGGGTGTGCTTTGTTCTAACTTGTCTGCATGCATTTCTGAACTCTCAGCTTAATAAACTGACACTTACCTTTGTTTTAACGCTGTTTCCACATAGAGAAACAAGGCTGCAATGGAGTATTTTCAAAATCATAATTTATGTATATACTTTTTGTATTTATCCAGCTTAATGGTGTAATTATAAACTGATTTTAACTCACAAACTGTTGGTCTAAATATCTGTATAAATGGATCCTCCAAACTGAACATGTTTTACTTCATTAAAAGTAGCGGTCAAATAGGTCATACAATAATGAAATAAAAAACCCACAATCATTTACGGATTTATCCTTTTAATATAGGGAAATAACATTTTATCATTACGAGGCACCATAAAATGTAAACACAATCACTGTCATAAACCTGGATCTCTCTGCAAGACAAAATATATCTGTTCACACTGAGTTACCTTGAATGCATATTGTGCTGTCAGTTCTCAGCTTTAACACGGTGTGCCTGCCTCCTGAGCCAGGCCAGAGACTTGACCACAGGAAATTCAAATGCATCAAATGCTCATCTTTAAAAGAATAAGCTATTGATTTGTAGAACTACAGTAACATCCAGGTTTATCTTTCTTTCAATAACCACATTCCCTGTTATGCACACCATAACAACATCACAGTGAAATGTATGATGAAACAAAATTTGTTTGATACACTAGAAAACATTGCTCAGTGATACATTTACATTCTATTTATATATGATTAAACATTTGTTCATACAGTACCTTCTACAGGATTACTGGGTAATTTTGGGGGGTTGGGGTTCATATTTTTGGATATTACTAACATGATAGCTACATCCCTTATATGCAAACATTTGATCTAGAATTTTGAGGGAAAAAATCAGTATGTGGTTAAGCAGCTTCTTAATATGATCTATGAAATCATATGCATTGTATGAAAATGCTTCCAATGATGTATAAATATATTCTTGATCTGCTTTTCACTACATCAAATTTAAATCAATATAGACCACACCACGGTCAGTCAGTTATATTCTTAATCTGAACAGCTGGGGAAAAAGAAAAAGAATATATATGTACATGGAAGGAACAGCAAAAGTAAATGTATTTGAACAAGGAATGTTAGGTGGCTGTTCTGGGAAAGATTTCTATTGCAACTTTCATTTCCACAGTTGTGTGCTGAGAGTCTGGCCAGAGGAGCTTCCAGTCCATCCTGCGGCTGTGCTGGGGGGCTGGCCGAAGCCCATCACATTGCTGGAACTGCTGAGGTTCATTCCAGCCATTTGCTGATTCATCTGCAAAGCACACACACACACACCAGCCTGGTTAGCACTGCCACTGCAACACAAGCCAAAAGCAGTCCTGCCTCCAACTAGCCACACAGTTACAAGTACATTTCCCTAAAAATATTTCTCATTAAATAAAAATATTGTCTCCATCTATGTTTCTAAGCTTTTTCTCACACCACCATCTTTTCTAGAGCCTTCATCCACCAACATACATCAACTGCTTGGCTGCATCACTTGGTGTAGATGTCACAAGAGAATTGACAGCGTGTGAAGGAGGTGGCCAGTGTAGCTGGTTGGTATAAGTTTGCTTTCACATTTTCAAGGCTAAGAAACAAAATTGTAGGAACTGCAATAAAGAAACACCAAAGCCAGTAATATCTCTTGTCTGCACTTGCAGCTCCAGATTTATTTTTTTTCCAGCAATATTTCTTTGGAGACTTCATAATCTTGACTACACCAGTTTTTACAGAAATTGTCCGCTTAGGTGACAATCAACAAAGAATGAGGTGGATTTATAAACTTGAGTATTATCTAACCATCCTTGCTAAACAATCTACTCAAGATACTGTAATTCCTTAAAAAATGAGTAAAATAATCCACATTAAATTAAATTCACATGAATTTAACATCTAGTTAAAGGTGAGAAAGTATTCAAGATTCAGCACATTCACTCCAGGGTTGCTGCAAAACTATTTGTAGTCTTTACAAATATCAAGTCACCATAATTTTAAGTGCTCAATGTCAAAATGACTTTGAGAGAAATGAGCATTTGAAGCAATTAATAATCAGAGGCAATGAATAGAGATGTTGGATAAGTAACATTTGATTCAACCTAAAGCTAGTACTAGGTAAAGTCAGAGTTCATTTAAACATGAGCGAACAATACCAGGTTGCAAAATGAAACTGAAACACTGGTGAAAAATTTAAGTAAATTGCAAACTAGTATTTCAGGGTAAAATTAAATTCTGTGTGCTTTCACACAGAACTGTGTATCTGCAGAAAACAACCCACCACTGAACCTGGAAATATAAAAAAAGCTGATGAAAACATGCTTTATCCAGTGGTACTTCTCCTCTGGAGTACAATTTTTAAGCAGCAGACTATATAAAACACATTAGTCTGGTAAAGCAAGCTCTCCCCTTTCAACTAGAGTCAGAGTTTAGATCAGAGTTCTGCAGACTGTGGAATGTCATCATACTGACATCTGATGTGCAAGGGGTACAGGAACATGTGAAGAGTTTGTTCCAGGAGCCAACTTTTAACATGTCATTGATAAGAGGCAAGATTTTAATTTCAAAGCTGACATGGGTCTTTTTAAAGCTAGCTACCTAGGAAAAGACTACCACCAGTATATCCACAGCTTTTTTTGATCTGACATTTTGAAATTCTCACCTTTAAGAATTACTTTTCAAGGCAGAATGATAGCCTGTATTTTCAAACAGGGGCTGTTTTATCCATGTAGGAAATGCAGTTTACCTTCATAAATGTTCACAACGTAAGACACAGCAGAACAGTAAAAATTTGTATCATCTAATTTAAGTAAATCACTAAGGTTCTCTTCCTGCATTACTAAGTAAGCAGCATGGAATTATTATGTTATCATAAGGCAAACAATAGTATGAAAAAAATAGTTGCTATCATGCATGCTGAACTCCAAGGGACTAATTTAGCTCTGATCCCTCTGCCTTACCCTGCCCCAATAAACGCTCAAATACCCAATTTCAAGATATTTTCCTGGAAAATGTACAAATACAGTACTACATGTACATTAAGTCTTCTAGAGAACCTTTTAAACATGTTTAAAAAATAGGATGGAAATGCTACAGATAAATAATAGATGCACATAAGCAAATTATCTACAGGCAAATATTAAGAGCACAAAGCACTTCACATTCCACCAAAAATTATCTTGAAATCTGTGAATGAAAGTATTCATTGTTAGTGGCTCAAGCAGTTAAATTCCGCTTTTAGTTAGAAGGCTGTGTTTATGTTTCAGAACTTTGTGACTCTAGCTCAGCCAAGCTTTTTACCTGGCTGGCTCTGATGACAGGATGAGAAGAGTTGTGGAAGCAGAGACCTGAGTTTGGTCACACTTGTCAAAATTGTTCTCTGCTTTCATAGGAATATTTCATTGAACTATTCACTGATTTGTAAACATGTGCCTCTGAACAGTTCACAGTCCAGTATCTTTAGCTTGGCTACACTTGACCTTCCTCCTACAGCCACACATTTTGTATCTGAAAAGCATCATTTTTTCTAAAGCACTCTTGTCTGGGAATGGCCAGTCTTTACCTGAGAAAGGTTCCATTGAGCTTGTTGGTTTTGTTGCAATCCATACTTATTTTGTGGTGGTGTGACCATCTGTCCCACCATTCCACCTTGAGGTCCAACGACAGTTTGAGGAAGTCCCATCACACCAGTTGGTGCAGTACCAGTAAATCCATTGGGCATTCCCACTCCTACCATCATGCCCGTGCTTTGTCCCATGACTGGCACTGATTGTCCCATCATGTTTCCCATCATCCCAGTTGCTGCTGGCACAGGAACTCCCATGGGTGGGAAGCCTTGAAATTGAGTTGAAGGTTGTGTGGTAAATGGCATAGAAGACGACCCCATGAACATACCTGTACCAGAGAAGAGAAAATTTCAGCAGAAGTGTCTTGTGATTTTCCTCCCCCATCCCCTAAGTCAGAAGTGCACCAAATAATTCTAAGGATAACTTTGTCCATCTGTGTGTCAGTGCTGCCAATTTAGCTTCTGGTAAAAGCAAAAAATTGCTTTAAAATTCTTAAAGGAAAGGGACTCATCATGAGATTAACTGCCAAGAAATGTTTGGCATCCCTGTGGTGATCCAGAATCTTTCAGTTGCTGTATTGGAGGTTTTTGTGTTCACACAAACACAGCTAGACCAAAGCTCTGACAACAGTTCTGTAGGGATCCTGACAGCCTGCTGGCTGCACACTGGAGACTCGGACCCTCACTTGATGAATTACATGGCAGAAGCAGACTACATAGATCTTTCAGTAAATTGTACACTTGATAATTTGAACAGCTATAAATAAATTAAAATCACATACATGTTTTTCTTTAGCACCCATATTACATTTCAGTATTTTTTCTCAGTTTTATAAAAGCTGAACATAAAAACCTTCATCTGAATATAGTTAACAGGTATCCAACCTTAGTTTTATATTTGTAGAAGATAACTTTTCTAGATAATGATTAAAATAGGACTGCACAGAAACCTTCACATTATTTACCCGGAGCATTTTGCTGCTGCATTGTTCCTGTGCCATACAGTGATAAAATGGAGTCTTTGGAGAGCTGTTTCTTCGCTGACTCTTCAGATTTTGCTGTTTGCTCAGTAAATAGATCAAGATCCCCGGCTGCTCCAGACAAGGTGGCAGCTGCTGGTTTAGTGGAAGTGCTCTGGGGAATAAAAGACAAGACAGACTACTGAAAGAAACCAGCAAAAGATGATAAATATTTACTGCACAGCCTTGACCCTCAACTTAATAAAACCTCATTAATTTACAGAAACTAAATTTAAGTGAATGAGAATTTAAAAATATGTGGTATGACTAAAGACAGAAAAAAGCAGTATAGGCAATATGGGACCATCAGACCAGATGAAGGTTACAAAACAAAGAAAACTAAATCCTCAACTGGCTTCAGGGTGTACACATACAAACTATTCATTCCTGTTGTTTCTACATTTTTCATCAGTGAGAAGCATAAATCAAGAGCTGGAATTAGATTATGAAAAATAATTAGGAAATCAATAAGGAGATTAAAATTCACATCTCATTAATCCTTTCATAGGCAGAATAGATTAGAGAAGAGCTAAAACAAAAGATTAAGTGCTTTGAAAAGTAGCTTTGGAGAAAAGGCAAAATTTTGGTTATCTACTTCAAGTAATAAAATTTCTAAAATACATGGTTTATAACTGGCTTAGAGTTCTTTAAGCACGTTTCACTTATTGACTGGCTTAGAGTTCTTTAAGCACGTTTCACTTATTGAAA